GCAAATTACTCCAATTCTGCTTCTGCTTTAATGATCATAAATCTTTAGGGATGGAAGAACTCATCTTGAAGGTTAGGAAAGATCAATACATTTCTAAACTGTAAAATGGAAATTTCAATGTAATTAACAAAGAGGGAAGTTTTAAACTAGCACCCTGATGCTGTAATGAAATGGATGTAAGCAAATAATCAGGTTTCATCCAGACCAGGCAAAGCTGAACTCAACTGGGTTATGCTCTATTCTGGGAACGCTTTTAGACCAGGCCTTGCTCTTGGATGCTAAGGTGGCAGACAAGCCCAGGAGAGCTTTTGCATGGCTTTGGCTATGATAGCCAGGCTGGTTTTTCAGTGGCATGTTACCTGCTCTAACACATGAGGAAAGCTGAACTTGGAAAATAATACCCAGTACAAGAAACAGGTGGACACATGCAAAAGGCCAAAAGAGAGGGAATGCACTGTCATGAAAGGGGTTGCTGTTTGCATATGCTGATTTTAAGTATAGAAATTACTATTTTAAATAGAAATAAAATACAGCTTACCATAGCGAGAAAAAGGCCTTGTGTGCCTGCTTAACCTGAGACACCGACTCTAGTTGCTGATGTGTACCATCAAAACCCCTGTTGCTCCCCCATTCTGAGTTTCTTTCTGTTTAAAATGGACTAGATTTGGACTAGACAGACATTCAAACAGAGAATGCCTTCAAAGAGAGGACTGTCCCCGCAGTTTCACTGGGGGAATTCCATGCAGCTCCCATGAGTTAGTGGCTCCTTTTTTATATATTGCTTTTATGAACTTGGCTCTGCTAAACTGACCCAGTAGTTTACATCATGCAGATTCATGTGCTTCTTAGCTTCAGAACTAAGTTGAAATATTTATAAGTTACTTTGAACAAAGACACTGCTTTGTAGATGGCACCACAAGGGAAAATACTGAATTCTTTGAGCTGATGCAGTGCTAGGCATGGAATGCTGCCATGTCTGCATGGGATTATGATCACTGCATAGTCGGGCTTGTGTTTCTCAGAACTCCCTATTTCTGGGTCATTTGACTATAAATATTGAGTACTGGGGACATTGTCTGCTGTTTGCCTCGCAAGCAGGACATCACACAACTGGTGAACCATGGGAGACAGGGAGGTGTTTGTAATTCTGGCTTATTAAAATGCTGTATGGTACAGGAGAGTACAGAAGGTATCTTTGGACAAGCTCCAGCCAGTGTGGAATTTGATTTTGCATGCTGAGCAAGGAATTTACATATATTCTTGCCAAGCAAATAAAAAGCTGAAGCCAAGAAGAAAAATAAAATTGATCAGTTATCCTATAAGAGCCATTTTTGCTCAGCCCCACCATAATAGAGAAGTTCTAAATTTCTCTTTCTCTCCAAGTCTGTTTGTTTTAACATTGATCTATATCACCCACTAGACTCCATTTAAGTATCAACCCTGTAACCCTTATATAAGTGATCAAGCAACTGTACAAACTAAGCAGTGTAGGGAAGCTTTCTGTACAGCCTTCCAGGGGTGCTGCTTGATTACACAGGCTCTGGTTTTGGTCCTGTAGGCACTTGCAGTGACTTGTGCTGCTCTTCAGCATCACACCCCCAGGAAGTCACTAGATGTGATCTGATGACATGGTGCTTCATCAGCAGTGATCTGGATCATTGACTGACCCTTCAGGTGGGATAAGAATAAAGAAAGGGAGAGAAGAATAAAGTGCTGTTTTCAGAGGCAACCCTATGTCTGGTGTCTTGTCTAGTTCCAACTGCAGACATTGCAAAGGAGTCATTCATATATGACAAAAACTTGGTGGACAGATTCAGACACATTTCCCTCCAATTCATGTGGGTTATTTGACATTTCCATGAGTTTGGGAACTGAGCAGAACAAGATTGAAGCAACTGAGCCTATCGTAGGTAATGTATTTTAAGCAAGTGAGATTTACCTGTCCAAGTTCATACACTGGGCAAACTTGGGTTCATAGAACAGTGGTATAATTGAGCAAGTGGTAAACTTGACCCCAGAGTAGCATGTGATGCCCCCAGCTTTCCCTGAAAAGTGGGGAAGGTGGAAAAACCAGTGGGCACCTTATTAAACAAGAATTAGGATTTATTTATGGAAGGAAAGGAGACAAATTATTCTACAACACACAAAGGCAGATTTCTTCAATGTTGTCTTAAGCTGTGCATTCTGGGACTCAGAGGTAACGGTATTAGACTACAATTATTAGGGGTTGTGGTAACTATGGAAAATACAGGATGCTGCTGCTCTCTTTCCCAGTCTTTTTTCAGCCTCCCCAGGGCTGTTGCTTCTGTTGCCTCTTTTCACTGCCCAGTTTATTATGAGGCCTCTTTTGCCAGTTCTGCCTTCTCCTACTTCCACTCTCTTCAGAATCCCCCCTCACAAGTTCCGCAGAACCTTCCTACAGTGCAGTATCGCATAACCTCATTTCCCCCAAAGCTATTTGGATACGCAGAAGCAAGAACATGATCTTCCACCGCTTTAGCCAGTGGGCGCCCTCTCAGTGAGTCTACCCTCTCACCACCATGGTCACCAGCAGCTATTGTTCCCCATCCTCTCTTTGTACTTGCTTCACCTACGTGCTTAACCGGTGCTCAACCATGGGGCGAGTGGGTGGTGGCAAAAAAGGTACAAACCATTAATGAGAGTTATAAGGGTTTTTTTAATGACTTCTGGGCCTTTAGTGCATTGCACAGCAACTGCGCCAAGTGCGTAGGAATTTCGGAGGCCTTGATTTTTCCATGTTTTGAAATTAAGTTTGCTTACCTGAATGAGGATCAAAAGTATGGTTTCAGATACATTTGTTTCCACTCATTGTCAGGCTTGGGACAAATGTGATTGCTACCGAGAATTTCTCTTTGGAATCTTGAACAATGATGTACTTGTGTAGATTAGTCCAATATACAACCATCACAAAAACAACTCTCACATCCTTTATGAATACTGGTTTTAAAAAACCATCTTGTGCAAGATTAACTTGGTTGTATGCTAAGGTTTGGGCAAAGCTGAACAAAACTGCATTTTTCCCAATCTCAAAACCATTGAAATAATCCTAGCCAGTCTCAGGCCAAAACAAGCCTAAAGCTTTTCATGTAGCTATTAGCATCCAGAGTGTGGGTGGCTAAATAACTGACTCAGGCAACAGGGCCCAGACAACTAGGCTAGAATCCAAACCCCCATCCAGACAAATCCAAATCTTATTCAACAGTCCAGTGACAGGAGTAGAAGAGCAAGCTAACTCCAATTCAAGAGGCAAAGGCACAGTCAAGCAAGTCAGGAGTCAAACAACCACGGAAGCAGTGGAAACTGAAGCAGATACCTGAGAACTGGACCAGGTGTAGGAAGCAAGGAAACCAGGTGAAGTCCAGGAAGAGGACAAGGCTGAAAAGTCCCAGTCACAATGAGCAAGGAGCACTGCAGCAAGTTTGTAGATCTTTATTGCCAAGGAAACTTCTAGAGGAAAGAGCCAGTTCTTACATAGCTCTTCCCCCAGGCTTCCCAGGTGTTGCTCATGAGAGCCCTGACAGCTGCAGTAGATTAAGGGTGTGATCCTTAAACTACCAGGGCTGCTATGCTGCTTCCTGGCCAGCAGATGGAGTCCTGAAGCTGCCTTAGATCCTGACAACAGCCTTCCGAAATGCAGTACGGTCTCCAGCAGGGCTGGGCAGAAGGTGGAGCTGAATCTACCAGTTGATCTCTGGGGCAGTTCTCAGTAAATCAGTAAGGATTCCTGATTCCCAAAAACATAACAACAATAATAATAACAACAACCGGATTTCCTGCATTCCTGCCCTGAATAAAGCTACAGAAATAAAGAAGGTTTGGGGTATCGGGGGATGGATTTTTGTGTGGAAGGACTATGAGACCCATGCAGTTCAGGTATGAAAAACTAATCCTTAGGCTCAGAATTCTTTAGTTCTAAGTATATGAATTTTACACCTGGTTGGTGGATTATAAAAAGAACAGTCAATCTTGCAAGCCTGAAGTGCACAGATAGACGTTGTTCTCCCTAGCACATAGGGTTATCCCATGAAGCTGATTGATGGGATATTCAGGACAGATAAAAGTACATCTTCACACTTCACACATAGTTAAACAATGGAATCCACTTCCATGAGATGTAATAATGGCCAGCAACTTGGTTGGATTATGTGGACAAATTCATGGGGGATACATCTGTCTGATGACTATATGCTGTCTCCAGTAAGAGAGGCAGTCTGCTTATCTACACCAATTGCTTGAGAATTTAGGCAGAAGGGTGCTGTGGTGAGTCTTCTGTGAGCCTCCTTGGTCTGATCCAGCATGGGTCTTCTTGGGTTCCTATGTCTGTCATCACCACCAGCAGCAGCCCAGGTCTACAGATGCTGTTTATAACTAAGTTGCAATTTTAGGGCACAATTTTTTGGAGATGAATATAAGCACTCTGAAACACATCCAGTATTACAATTTTGTAGATGGATGTTTTTGTATATCTACCGTTCTCCTGACCACTCTGGTCCCCTCTCCCCCTTCTCCAAAGTTGCATTTCTGATCTCAGAGAGTGACTGGTGTGGTTTTTTCCAAGAATTTTCTGCAGCAGTTTATGCTGGGAGTCCATGACTGGCCCAAAGTCATCCTGTGAGTTCCAGAGTGGAGTACAGAATCTGGATCTCCAGTGTTCAAGACAAGTGCTTTTAATCTCTGTACCACATTGGTTTTCCAATGTTGTAAAGGCTTCCATTTTGCTTTTTTAATCTCAAGTCCTTTTCATTCCAGATATAAAGAACTTTGAAAATGCTAATGAATTCTTATCAAAACTAAAATGAATTCTTACTCATCCTGAAGGGAAACCTCCAATGAATATGGACTGATGGAAATGGTGTTAGACTTGAGTCAATAGACTTTAATGATATTTGGAATGCGACAACAAGCCACTACAGGCAGGGCACCTCCATTGTAATGTCCTCTTAGCAACCTCCACCTTTAGGATGTGGACTATCATCTAAATGGTCCTTGTTCACAGAGATTTAACTAGAGTACTCTACACTTTAGCTAATGAAAGCATGAATGGCGGTCAGCATAAGGTAATATACCTAAAATTATTTTTTTCCTGTGATCACGCCAACAGGAAGAAGAAGAAGATCTAAAAAGGGAAAGAGTAGTAGCAGCAATCTGTTGAGGTATTCTCTTCTTTTCTCAAGTGCAAGCTCCACTTGAAGCAGGATGCAAGTTCTAACACAACTGTTTGCTAGCTTCTATCATAGCTTTTATAACAACTCTCTTCCCATGTGCATGGAGCATCCGCTACTCTGTGTCTTTCAGCTGCACATTTTTGTGCAGGGGCTCAGCAAGTCTGCAGCAGTACCATTTCCTGCTCTAGACTGAAATCCATAGGAGACTTTTACTGCTTAAATAGTACTGCACAGCATGTTCACTTTTTCCTCCATTCCTGAAACAGCAGTAGCGAAATTAACTCAAGTTATGGCCACATCACTCAAAAGCAACCCATGCTGCCAGATGAAAAGAAAAAACAAAAGAAAAGAAGGAAAAAAGAGGAAGCTTCTGGCTGAAAAGATCTGCTCTTGCAGATAATAAATTGAACTTGTCAGGAAACCCAATCCATAACCCCATAAAACCATACTGCTAGGATTTAAGATGATTTATGATCTGCTCTTGCTGGTTTAAAGCAGATATGTTACCACAAAAGTTTAAGATCAGGACACTGGCCTTCTTGAGTTCACGTGTTTCAGTAAAAATCACTTGATTTAAATTTAAGTCATTTGATCTGAACAGTATTATGAGTTGGATGTTATTAAAAACTGTTCGATCTTCTTTCTACTATTCTTTGGTGGTAGTATATTAAAATAGAACTTACTATTTGTATTATTTTCAGGTATGGTGGATTATGGAACAAAATCCTGAGGTCATATTCAGTTGGCTTGTAAATTCCATATATCCAGTGTGGCAAAACGGTGGAATACAGCACGTCTGAACAAGTGCAGCAGCTGCCTCTACCATGTACCTGCAGGTTTCATAAGGAGCTTGTGGGTTACGATAAAAAAAATCAGATTTGTGTGCTAAGTGACGTTCCTTCCCTTGCAAACCCCCTTCTAGTCTTTTTGAAACAGTGCAGCTATTCTGTAGCACTAGAAGTTCATTCAGGATTTCCTGGCTCAGACTGCAGACCTCTGCTACCTTAGCAGGAAGGGGTGAAAGGTAAATTCTGAAGTAAGGCTGCAATCAACCACAAGTTGTAAGTATTTCCAAGTCATTAAATTTCATTTAAGAATAGGTGAAATTTGGAACAAACAAAAGGAAAGATTGCATTTTTCAATTTATATTGCACAAACTATGTATACTCTCTAAAACAACCAAAATAATTTTATATTCCAGATAAATGTGCAGGTTGATTTTCTTGTGATATATTGATTTTTTTTTTCTTTACACAGATGGGTCTTCTGAGTCAAAGTTCATTCTTTGCAGGAAAGATTAAGTACATCTTAGTAGGCATCATGTGTTTCTGCATTTTGGAGAACACAAAAACAGGTATTGTTCTTTATTAGAGGAATATATTTTCTTTGAAATTATTGCCTCACCTCTCAGTATGTGTGATCTATCCACTGCTCAATGTGTTACATCTTATATTGAATTTGGATATAATTAACATTTAATTTTATCATTATGAAAAGTGATCTGTAATGACAGAGAGATAACAGCAATTATTTTATGAGAGTATTTTAAAAACTTGATGTTTAGCTATTATTAAACATTTTTTGTAAACTGCAATTTTATTAGAGATTTATTGATGTTGAATTTCTTATTTGTTCACAGATGCCAGGCCAATTGAGGATGACGAAGGTAATGAGTTGGTTGGTTGGTTGGTTTGATGTTATGTGCCCCAGTCTCTACCAAGAGTACCCCTAAGAAATGGAAAACTTGCAAATATGAAGTCGTTCAAACCTTAAGGAAAGATTTCAGATAGTATGACAAGAAGCAAAATCAGTTTTAGATTTAGTAGAAATAGGGATTGGAACAGTGACTACAAGTGCAAAATTCACATAAAAAGATATCTTTGGTAAGAAAAAAAACATATTGTAAGGTGGACTGTGACTCACAATACAAAATTGTATATAGCGCAGTGCTACTGAACTGAAAATATTTTGGATGACTGCACTGCTACAGTATCAGGAGTTGCTTATACATAGCAGAAGTTCACAGCTACATCTTTGTATCCAGCACTTGGACAATGTCAGAAAGTGTCAGACAGATGGCAACTGATGGCCAGAGTACAAAACACTTGCAGCACAGACAGATGAAACCTAAATCATGCATCACATCCAACTTAAAATTTAAGTATTCTGTCATACATTTCACTTTCCCAGAGTTATTTGGACTTGTACCACATTTTAAAGACCTTTCATGATCTGTGGCTTCTGATTAAAATGTTTCCAGCTCTTTGTCTTCCATCTTTCCAAATCACTCATAATTAGTTGTAGGAGGAATACAATGTTTAGCCAAATCCTAACTTTGTTTAGTCAAATGCATCCCTGAATTCAATTAGACTTACTTTCTAGAAAATTTGCAATGTGTCTAGGATTGTTGCTAGTGTCCTGAAAATATTTGTTACAGTCAAGCAAGCAATCCTAAAGTGTGGGCTTCTAAAAGATTTGTTTTCTTTATGTATAATACCTTCAACTCCTGACTGCATGGGCAAACAGGTCACTGTATTCTCAGCGCAGACGGAGATGCACAAAGAAGCATAATGTTGTATAAAAATAACTGTTCTATGTTTCTAATCTCATGTAAAATAACGAGAGAGAGAGAGAGAGAGAGAGAGAGAGAGAGAGAGAGAGAGAGAGAAGCTGTCTAAAAACCATGACTCCTGGCTTTTAATGCCATTTTTGATTAATCAAATATTATTAAAATAATGTTATTTTCTTTCAGATCCCTATAGACAACCTGCCCACATGCCCTACTGGCCTTTCACAAGCAATGATTTTTGGGCATATGTGGAGTACTTCCGGACCTTGGGAGCATACCACCAAATCCATGAGATGGCCAGAACATTCTTTGCACACTACCCCCTTGGAAATACTCTTGGATATGATGTCCCATATCATGAGCAGTAGCTCACCTGGTAATTTCATGCTTTCACCTACAAACCATCGGAATTGCTTTCCCAATAACTGTGTTGTTCCATGCTTCTTTTCAATCAAATATGTAACCTCTCTGTTTTTAAAATGCAAATGATACTCTCTTAAATTTATTTTAGTAGACAATATTTACACACATACACATATGTATAAAAGGTAAAGGTTTCCCCTTGCCATTAAGTCCAGTCATGCCTGACTCTAGGGGGCGGTGCTCATCTCCGTTTCCTAGCTGAGGGAGCCAGCGTTTGTCCACAGACAGTCTCCGTGGCCATGTGGCCGGCATGACTAAACACCGAGGTGCGTGGAATGCTGTCACCTTCCCACCAAAGTGGTACTTTTTATCTACTTGCATTTGCATGCTTTCGAACTGCAAGGTTGGCAGGAGCTGGGACAGAGCACGGGAGCTCACCCTGTGTGCAAATTCGAACCTGCAACCTTTCGATCAACCAGCCCAGCAGCACAGCGGTTTAAACCACTGCGCCACCTGCAGTCCCTACATATGTATATACACATATCTTTAATGTATACAATGTTTACATATACATATAATGTTTTGCAAAATGAATAATCTTTGAATTCTAATGCTCGTGTTTGTAGAACCCATGTGTGCAATATTTTGAGAAATAATATAACAGTAAAATATCCATATTTTACATGTGCACAATACTTTCAAAATAGCTTAGTCCAAAAAAGGTAAGGTATTAAATAAATCCTTTAAGTCTAATTTGTGCATACTTTTTTCATTTACCTATTATTCATTTCATAAAATGAACAAACTCAAGGGAGATTTAAATGTCTGTTTTTCAGCACCAAGTAGTTTCTTTAATATTAACATATCGACAGTGTGAATTCTTTGTGTAGACCAGAATGGGCAATATGCATGCAGTTCCTGCTGATTCTCAGTCCACCTCAGTTTTTTGCTTTTGTTTCAAAACACAAACAGAATTGTTTACAAGCTAAATTTGTCCACTTTAGCATTCCATAGTAGTCCAACTTGTAAGGGACCAAATTTTAGTTAGCAAAGAAGCTAAATGTAACCATTTTAATGCTACTGAGAACCATGGAACAGTTTGCCATACATTTCAGCAGCAAGTCGGCAGATTATATTATTGGTAGCAGTAGCAGCATTTTACTGTGCAGCCCATGAGGGAGGGCTGGAAGAAAAAAGTGGACTCTGGACCTCCTACTGATGCTCGCTCATGAGGTAGATTCTCCCCTATTAATCAGTTTCATGAAGAATGTTAAAAATCTGCATGTCAAAAATCAGAAAGGGTGAAATCCTTTGAATGTTTTAACAAAAAAAAAAATGCATGACTGCCTTAAGCATGCTGGGAGCCATTTTTCTAAATATGCATAGCATTGCACCCTAAGTCAATCACAAAAGTAGGCTTGGATGGAACCTCCTTCAATGGTTCTAAGAGAGGGAAATCTCAGGACACCCAAGACTCCCATATGCAATACAATCAAAAGTATATCTGTTCAGAAGAATGTCCATTTGTGTTTTATGGGTCTTGCTCCCAGATATGTATTAGCATTAGGATTCCAACCATAGTTCTAGGAGGAGAAGTTGTAGAACACATATCCTGCAGTACCTTCCTTTTAAAGTTTCTAAATATACCCTACATATTTAGTTTACTCTCTGTCAACCATAGGACACTGCCAGCTAAAATTTTCTGGGCCCATTCCTTTAAAATTAGGAACTCATTCAGGCACTCTTCCATTAGTTTGAGGAAAGGTGTTGATAATCTCACAAGGCAAACCTAAGCGTGCTTGCTCAGTCAGAAGTAAACTCCACTAAATTAAAACTGTCTCTAGCAAGTACCCCATTTGCTCCCTTTCATTCCACAGCAGATGCAGAGAGACCTATCCGGATCTTCAAATCCCCCTACTGCCCAAACTAGCGTCTCGATTCGAATCAGACCACGCCAGCACACCTACTATGGCGTAAAAAATAAGCTACAGACGTAACTGCTGCAAGGCGCAGCAGCAAAAAAATAATTATAAAAACCCCTACAACTTCTCCTGTGCCCCAGAGACTATAGCATATGCTGAGATCTGTAAGTCTTTCTTCTGTCTGCTTAGAATTGCACCCTTAAGGTTTTGTTCTGTTCTTTCCTCTCTCTCGGAAACGGGACACATAGAGCTAGGCTGTTGCATTTCCCGTCTCTCATGCAAGCTGAATCGGGATGGGAAAAGAAGGGCTTCCAAAAGCGTATGAACCTGCCCCATTCCAGGTTTAAAAACTCCCCCCTCCCCCGCTGTGCTTCGGTATTGCATTCTGGGAGCGTCCTTTTCCCTCTATGCTGTACATGGAGGAATGCCATAGATGTGGAAGGCCTTCATACGGCTAGAGCAACCGGAAGTCAGCGCGCGCCGGAGCCGGATGTTGGCGCGAGATCGGGAGAGAGGACGGTGGGAGCGATGAAGCCGGCGGTGGACGAGATGTTCCCCGAGGGTGCGGGCCCTTACGTGGACCTCGATGAGGTGAGCCGCTGACCGTGAGAGGCAGCGTAAGGATTCGTCTTTTGAGTCCGCGTCTGCTCGACGAGTTTAAAATGCCATCACTTTAGGAGCTGTGGTGGAGCCGGCTAGTTGTCTCCCAAGGGCTTGTCTCAAGAACTGTTTCAAGGCGCGTGGCACGATAGACGTGGCCGACTGGGGGGGGGCTCCCCCCCTTTCTTCTTTCTTAAGCTCTCCCGCGTTCAACGAGCGTGGTTGGGCGTTCTGCATCAGTGGGATTTTGCCTGCGGGAGGGATGTCAAGAGAAAGGCATCTCTCAGAGTTCTGAGAAACAGTTTCCACTGTTTTTAACCCTGGTATCTTAATTGAAGTGTCTATGAACCCTATGAGTAGGAGGGAATAAAATATACAGTCAAGCAAATGGTTTAAAAACGCTATAGACCATGCATATAGACTGGCCAAAACAGGGGTCTTGGCGTTGTTTTGTGGAAGTTCATCAAAAAGTCGGTGGTGTGCTGTGAAGGAAAATTGCATGTAGGGGATCGTTAGGAAAATAATTCAAAATAACTGCCAATGGCACACGGTCCTTACAAAAATCTGCAATATTGCGAACAGTTCTGTTCACTGCACCTGTGGAGCAGGGAATGGAGTACAAAAAGACAGACCAGATGATGGAGGTGCTGAAGCAAATCCCCTGTGATGAAAGGAAATGGGCTCTTTAGGTTAGAAAAAAAGGCAAGAGGACATGACGGAGGTTTTTGTTGCCTACAATTCATGGTGAGTATGCCTAGGAAGTGTGTCTCTGTCTGCCAGTTGCTGTGCAACATTAGCAGAAGGGTACTGTTCCACTCATGTCCTACTTGTGGCCTTCCCATAGACGTCTGGTTGGCTACTATAAGAACAAAACTCTGGATTAGGTGGACCCATGGTCTGATCAAGCATGGCTCTTCCAGTATGAATGTGTTAGGAGAAAAGCTACTGTAGTGTTAAATCCTAATTGTGTCCAGTATTTATAGGTCATCCTGGAAAAAAAAATTCATTGAATCTTTCAACAAAGTTAAAATGAACTAAGAAAATCCAAGTAAAAATACATCTGAGAAAATAAACAGGTTGTGCCTGATCCCAAAATAACATGAAGTTAGGTACCAAGTAAGCTTACTTACAGGATGTTTTCCATAGTTAGGGGGGAAAAAACATCCAATCATTTGTTTATCAGGCTGGGTTTGAAAATCATGCATCTGACAAATCAGGATCCACTTGGTGCTCTATCTCTTCCATTGTGTTCTGTAGAACAGTGTACCTCCTGATATCTGACATAATTTCTGTAAATTAGTTTTATAACAGGGCATGGATCTTGTGGCTGTCTAGCTGTTTTACTCTAACCAGCTGCAGGCAGCAAAGCAAGTGGTTGGATATTATGTGAGTTCTAATCCAACAGCATATGGAAGGCTGCACGTTCCTCATTCATTTTTAGAAGAACATTTTAGAAAGTGACTGCACATACTGTCTAAGATGAACATACTATCTAAGTGACTGAACATAGTATAAATATATTGTCTGAGATAATGATGTATGAATGTTAAATGGTTGTTGACATATTGTTGCTGCAGTTGATAAAATTACTCTCTTTCAGGCTGGAGGAAGTACAGGTCTATTGATGGACTTAGCAGCCAATGAAAAGGCAGTGCATGCAGACTTCTTTAATAGTAAGCATTAGATTTTTATTCTAAGCTATTCATTTATTTTAGCCACTACCCAGTAGTAATTAATAATTTTTTCATTTCCTACTGATTCTGAAGGAAGTGCTATCAACTTTCAGGTGATATAAGTTAGTAAGTAAAGGCTAAGACAGGGCTGAGAAACAGGGTTTTTATAGTAAGCAAAAAAGAAAAAAAGTGCCAGGGATGCATTTTAGAGAAGAGGCACAAACATAGGAGCTGGGTTAAAGAAGGAACCTACTTCTTGACTTCTGGGAAACAAAATGTGAGTCACCAGACTCAGGTGTGTCATCCCACCCCCAACCCCCACTACTTGGTGTGTAGAATTTAGTATAGTAAAATGTCTATACCTGACTTTTTATTAAAATAGCACACAAGGTAATTTTTAAGTGATTTTTGAACATCTTCTGTTAAATGGATTGCCAGCTAAATGGAAACCATGGGGAAATACCACTTCATCTTAGTAATAATATATAAAGAACAAGAGTAGATCCCTCAGATTGTGTAGTGTGTCAGTAACCAGCAGGAATGTGAGACAATGGTGTAATATCCTAGTTAACCCATTTTTGGGTCCTTGTTCTACTGGCTTTTGTCTAGGTTTTATTTTGGTTTCATTATATTTTAAGCGTATTTTATATTTTTTTTACATTTTGTTTTGTGAATCATACAGAGAACTTCAGGTAATAGACAGTACTGAGATGTAATACATACAGTATTTTAGGATCCATAGAAGTATTTGCATACTTCCCACATGTCACTTCATGAACTCCATATGTTAAGCACATATTTCTCCTGGTTCTTTGTAAAGTTTTTATCATGTAGAAACTTCTTTTGGTGCCTTGCAATAGTGTTTAGGAGGGAATGAAGGAGAAGGTCATGACTTTACAAATGCCTTAGTCTGGAAAGATGCATGTGGCTTTGACTCCCAGCATTCCCTACTCCGTGATTTGCAGGCAACTTAAGGGAGACCATGTGCTGCTCTGAGTTTTGATGTTGCATGCACCTATTTCAGAGCTGAGCATGGTTTGAGACTTTATCCTCTATTTCCTACACGGGGGAGTGTAGAAGATTGCTTTCTCTGTTACATTGGCAAAACAGCATGCAGATGTGGGTGTCTTCCACGTGTTGTGCTACAAACTCCTGTAATATCCATTGGTGCACACACAGTACTCAAGGTAGGTGAAGTGTTCACTGCTGTTGAGTTAAGCAAAACTTATGGGACTATAGTTGTTAAGTTTAAAGAAAGCACAATTATTTAGTCAGAAAGTAGGTGAGTCTGTCGTAAAGTGAGGACAAAAGAGTACAATAAAGAATCCTCTCCTGAACTTTCACAAGTCACTTAACCTGTAAAGTATGCCTGTGTGAGAAAGCTCTTAAGAAAGATTAATAAAAGATCAAATTTGGTTGGATCCAGAAAAATGTGTGTGTGAATTAGGAATTTATTTTTAACACTTTAGCATCATTAGTTCAATTGTTTGTTAACTTAAAGTGGATTCAGTCTCTTTCCTTATCAGGAAAGGAACATTTCTTTAATTCAGAGTAATGAAGATGTCATTAAGTATTCTGTATGATGTTAACTTACTGTGGGTTGCTGTTTTTGTGTTTTTTTTTTTTGTTAGATTTTGAAGATATGTTTGACGATGATGATATCCAGTGAAATTCATCTTCTAGCTATGCCATGCTGAATACTTAAGTTTTTGTTGTAGAGGCAAACTGTGCTCAGAACAGAAGGAAAATGTGAATATTGTCCCTGAGACATGGAAGAACCCTTTGAAAAGGCAAACGATGGATGATGAAGAGAATTGTGGAGCTGTTTCTCATAGAAAATGGGTAGATGTGCAGTTTTTTAGCTTGCTTCAATAAAATCTAAACAATCCTTATTCTGGAAATTTACATCTTGGCTTTCAGTTGAATGATTCCCAAAACAGCTTACAAGCAGCAAATCATAATATTTCATAACACCTGTTTAGATGGACAGTTACAGCTGTATACTCAACCTATGAGCCCTTAGTTGATGGATGGGTCAGAATGTGTTTCCATTTGGTGTTTGTGGAAAATAAGCTGTCGTGATGCTTCTTCATGCAGTTTTTGGAACTTCCAGCATCATCATGTATCCCTGTTACCAGCCACCTTTAGAAATGTAGCTTTTATACAAACTTTGGAAAAATGTTTGAGTACCAGGTTCTCTTTCCTGTTCTTGTACCTGCTGCAGATCAGGTGGGCAAAGGCAAGAGTTGTTTTCTGAGACTGGCCCATTCCTAGTCTCTAGCCTTGTTGTTTATTTTTTGTGGTGCCTTGTAAATGTTAGGCGGTCCCTAGCAGCTGGTGTTAATGACCAGAGAGGGAGAAGGAACAGTTTCAGTGGAGCAGGCAGGCGATAGTCTCTGCCCATGGGTGCAATGGATTGCCAGTTATGGCAACTATTTTTAAATGCAGCTATGAATATAAATCACTATATGCACATTCTATGCAAATTACCATCTTTAGCAGTGATTCGTTTCTTACGCAGCGTTGGCCAGCATCCTGAACAATTTTCTCTGCAGTTCTTTGTGAATCTTCATGGCTGCTGTTAGACACAGAGTCACTGAGTGTTTTTCACTGGCCTGCCTTCTCTGAACTTGCCAGGTATTAATTAACTCTATCCTTTTAGGTAAGTGTCAGTGGCTGATGTGCCTTTTTCAGACATGAATCCAAAAGCTTTACAAATTTTATGTGTCTGAAAAACAAGCAAATAAAATATGAATTCGTAATAAAACTCGGTTAACAAGTTGTTTATGTGCAAACTTGCATCCTCTTGCCTTGCCTACAAGCAACTAAGAGATTCTAAGTAATACAAAAGTCCATGTGTTCATTTCTATTATTTGTTATTTCCTGACTTGCCTGCAATCATGCTGGAGTTAAAGGATCTCATGATTCTCTTACTGCACATCATACTTCTGTAGCATTTGCCAGTCAGAATTGTGCCTCATTCCATATGCAATTCTAATTGAGAACACCCAAGTAATGGTTTGTTTAAATAAGTACAGATTATCATCTGGAACAAGAATCTCATCTAGTTAGGAAGCAAGTAATATGGTAGCTGGGCTGTTACAAATTTCCTGACTGCCAGTTTAGCTGGAGAACCCATTACTTTTGGCCAGTGCAAATATTCTTGGAGAATGGACAAGGCTTACTTGAGAACTTCTTTGGCCTTTTGCCATTGGATGGTTCTTTATCTTGGAATTTATTCTAACTTAGTACTCTATGCTGAATGTTCTTCATGGAACAGTTTGAACACTTCCTCCAAAACAGAACAGAGTTTCAATGAATATCTCAATTGTATTCATATTGTTTCCTTAGTCTGAAAGAAAACTTACTTTTTTCTTAGATGGGGCACTTATTAACAGAAGCTCTGGGACAATGGCATGGTGTGTGCTCTCTCCACATCCTTGCCCTTTATGTGTGCATATATGAATCCTAGCAAAGTGGAATGATGGATTAATTCCAAAATCAGTATAACAGTGACAATTGAAATGGCTGATACAATGAGTGAAATTGTCTGGTTTCATTCTCTGTATTTCAGTAATATTGGCTTCAGGTACTTGAACAGAGAGGTAAGCTCTAATTTCTGTAACACAGGAGCATAAACTATCAAGCCAGGATTGGGCAACTTGTGGTCCTCTAGCTGTTCTGGCTTTCAGTCCTTATCATCCTAGTGGAAAATGCCAGAGGCTGCAACAATAACGGTACTTCATCCTAAAATGAATATCCAACATAGGATTGCTTCTCATGCAAATCATCAAAGACAGAAGCTCATCTGATACCCTCTCATTTAGGTTTCAAGATAAAGCTATAAGCAGTAGGAGTAAATAAGGAAGAACAGCTAGACTGCTGAGGACACACTGCTTCACTTCCTGGATTAGTGGTATCAGTTCAATCATCTCTTTGGCTGTTTTACAAGAATTAGCAAAAAATGAACCACAATAAAATACAGAATGTTTTTTTTTCCAGTATATAACATTTAGAAGCAATTTAACAGTGAAAGCAATTTCAGTACATATTTGACCTGTTAAAAACAGCTGACACAAATGCTTCATTGTGCCATTAAGTCGAAGAAGGCAGAATTAACCCGGCATTGAAAAGATGATAGGAACTGGTGCCAAATAGACCTCACTAAGGGAGGTCATTCCACAATTAGCAGGAAGCCCTCTCTCATATTGCTGTCTTTCAAGCTGCCCGTGAGCTGGTAGATTCAGTTCAGAAGAGGTGTTCTTTCAGGCATTGCTGTTCCAAGCAATGTTAAGAATTTACAAGGCACAACATGTACTTTGAATCAGGCTTAGAAGGATCCAGTCAACCAGTGCAAGTACGTGAAAAATTGATGTTACATGTTCAGAATTCCTGGTCCCAGTCACTATTGCACTGCTGCATTTGTTACAAGCTTCAGCTTCTGAACAATCTTGAAAGGCAGCCCTATGTACAGAGCACTGTTGTAATGTAGCTAGAAGGTTTACAGTGCATAAAAGACTGAAAAAACTTATCTGTGTCCACATAATGGCATAGCTGAACCATGAGCTGAAGCTGATGGAAGGCAATCCACCAGTGAAGCCACCAGAGCCCCAAGTGACAGAGGTCTTCCTTCAGTCTGTCACAGCCAGGGATTGATTTTGTGCATCAACACCTTTTGGAGATGGTCCTTCAAGTAGGCATGGAACCACTGCAATACAGTATCCGCTGTTCCAGCTCAGAAAGTCATGTCAGAAATTTGATGGTATCAAAAACCAGTAAGATATCAAGGAATACCAACAAGATCACACTTCCCTGTCTTCAGGTCATAATATAGAATGATCAAGCTGCTTTAATACCAAAGCCCTGCTTGAACCTCAACAGAAGTGGATCTAGATAAGCAGACTCATCCAAGGACCTTGAAAAAGTAAGGATTGTTTGCCACCAGCCTGAAGTTGTGAAGGTCTTCTGGGTCTTGAAAAGATTTTTTCAGGAGCAGTCTTACTACAACTTCGGTCAGACAGCATGGAACCACTTCCTCTCAAGGTGTAACTGGCCCAAGATTGATCTCTCCCTGCTAGTTTTTGTAATTCAAGAGGGGCAAATTGTCGGTGTGGAAGTACAAGCACCCTACTAGCATCCCAACGTTTTACCAATTGAAACTTGCCCAAGAAAATTAGATCAGGCTACAATCTGACATCTCACCTAATTACCAGGTGGAACAACGGTCCCCTCATGTGCAAGAGAATTTATCATGGTATTTATCCATTGTAAATATGGTGCTCAGAAGCCATCGTAAGAGACAACTGCTTGCTGGATGGTTTCCTGGTACCATAACAGAACTGTTTCTTGTATTGTTTCCTGGTTCCGCCATAGCTTGTTGGGTTGTCTAAACTCAGGATCATCATTTCCATGTTCCTGGCATGCATCTACCATAGAGTCCTGTCAGGTGCATCAGCTGGTCCAGCTGCCCAGCCTCTATGTGTGCACCAATGAGGAAGAGGCAGGTAGCATAGGCAGAGAGCAGTGCATCTTGGGATTAAATTTCAGGCACAATGGCTGATAGGATATGTGTCAACAGTGGGAGGACTTAGTGGGAAAGATAGAAACTATAATGCAGAATCCACCTGATCATCTGTTAAGTAGATCGTGGTAAAAATCATGAACCATGGTAATTACAGTTACTTGTCATGTTGTGTGAATGGAGCCATTGAATCATCTCTAAATAAGTTACTGAGAAAGCACAATTGGCTAAGAAATTTATGTTTAAGATAAATGACACTACCTACCTAGCACCACCTTTGGGGATGCTCCTGGATCCAGAATAGTTACTTGAGTCTCAGGTGGATTCAGAGCCACTGAGCACATTTTATCAGTTTAGGATGATTTACATCCCTACCTGGACAGACAGGTAGCTACAGTAATCCATGCTCTGGTAACCTTTCATTTGGACTAATTTGTAATACACTCTACATGGGACTGCCTTTAAAAACAGTCCAGAGATTAACAGGATAGAGACCTGTTCTCCCCTGCGGTGGAAGGCAGGACACGCTCCAACGGAGCAAAGCTCAGGGAACCCAGGTTCAATTTAGATGCCAGGAAGTACTTCCTGACAGTTAGGATCCCAAGGGTATGGAATTGGCTTCCACAGGAGGTGGTTGAGGCCCCATCAGTGAGGGGCATGTCATGAGCGGAGCCAGCTGGAGCCGGGGGTCAGACTAGATGGCCCAAGATACCCCTTCTGACTTGCTCTGTTTCTATGTTTCTATTATATAACGCCATATAGCTGCACTGGCTTCCAGTTGAAGTCCAGGCCCAATTCAAAGTGTTAGTATTAACATTTAAAGCCCTAAATGTTATCTGAAGGATCACCTCAAACCTGGGTCCTAAGATCACCCTTTGGGGTCAGACAGATTTACAGTGTCCTGAGCTGCAAGCATGTAATAGGTTCTACCCTAAATTTTGCTGGACAACAGTTAGAGGATTGAATAGAGGCAGCAAGATGTTTTTTGCCACCCTCACTGCCCCTATGTATAGTTGACTATATGCACATATCTGAGGGACTGAATTCACTAAGACAGTATTGAAGATGTGTCCTGCTGTCGTGCGCATGATCAGAAGAGTCCGTTATGGGCGCACAAGAGGAAGAAACTTCCCATAAGAACCACAATGTTGATGAAGAACTATGTCTGATGTCAGCAGAACAATCTTCCCAATTTCACAGATGCTGAGAATGAGAATGAGCCAGATAAAAAGGTTCTGGGAGAAGTCAAAACAGAGGCGTGAGAAGAGATCAATTTGGGAGTAGATGGGAAAACAGACTGGCAAGCTGCTGAGATTGAATGATAGAATGAAGGAGATAAGGGGCAAGGGGGTTTTGAGGATGCTCGTTCTCGCAGGCACACATG